ATTATTGGGTAATTGACTAAATTGAAACATGGACAGTAGATTAGATAACAGTGTTACTGAAGTTGATGTTGATGTCCACACTGTAGCTATGTAAGAGAATGTCCTTATTCTCAGAAAAGATACACTGAAGTTTTTAGAAGTAAAAAGATATGATAAATGTAACTTGCTCTCAAATAGTTCAGGGAAATAAAATTGTATAAAGAGAAAGAGTACATGCAAATGGTGCAAAATGTTAACAATATTGTGCACCTGGGTAAAGGATGTACAGATGCTTTTTGTACTATTTTTATTCCTGCAAACTTTTTTCTGAATTTGGAATTATTTTCAAATAAAATACACTTTAAGCAGGCTAATAATTAAAAATCTAAACTAAAATTATATTGGGAAACATTATGCTAAGTGAAATAAGCTAGACACAAAAAGACAAATATTATTAGAATAGGCAAATTTATAGAGACAAAAAGTAGAGTAGCACTTACCAGGGGTTGGAGGTAAAGAGGAGTGGGGAGTTATTGTTTAATGGGTACAGAGTTTCTTTTGGGGTGATGAAAAAGTTCTAAAAATGCATAGAGGTAATAGTTGCACATTGTGAATGTACTTAATGTCACTGAATTGTGCATTCAAAATTTGTTAAAATAGTAAATTTTATGTTATGTATCTTTTCCACAATAAAAGTATCTTGGGGATGTTTACTTACATTATAAAAGGATTCCCTACAGTTCTTTAAATATAAGCTCCGTTTGTTTATTTAAACAATTTTATACAACTTTCAAGATTCACATCAGCTCCTTTTTGAAGACTCTGCTTATAACTGATTATGTAGTATCTGTATTTCATTTTAGTTGGTTTTTTTTTTTTTTTTTTTTTGAGACGGAGTCTCGCTCTGTTGCCTAGGCTGGAGTGCAGTGGCTGGATCTCAGCTCACTGCAAGCTCCGCCTCCCAGGTTTACGCCATTCTCCTGCCTCAGCCTCCCGAGTAGCTGGGACTACAGGCGCCCGCCACCTCGCCCGGCTAGTTTTTTGTATTTTTTTTAGTAGAGACGGGGTTTCACCGTGTTAGCCAGGATGGTCTCGATCTCCTGACCTCGTGATCCACCCGTCTCGGCCTCCCAAAGTGCTGGGATTACAGGCTTGAGCCACCGCGCCCGGCCTTAGTTGGTTTTTTAAAATAGATTATTGAAAAACTGACATTCACCTTGGGCAAAGATCTTAGCTTTTTTCAGCATCCAGGTTCTCCACTTGTCAAAGCAAAACACTCTTCAGAATACTTACTTCATTCATCATCTAGTTTTCTTAGAAGAAGGATGCTGGTGGTTTTGCTTCACAAAAATATTTCATAAACATAAGCTTTTTCTTTTTCTCACAATGATCATACCAGGGGGAATGAAGAAAACAGATGTTGCTTATAAGGCGTCTAATAGACATGTTTGCATTGTAAGCTGATCTGACTCTGAATTTGGCATCTGCTCCATTCACTGTGTGGACTGAGCATTTTAGCCTCACAGTTTGGCAGAAAAGTTAATATTGACTTTTGACTGTTACCTGAAAACTCAGTGATAAAATACTCTTACTAAACCTCTCGAGAGAGTGATTTTTACAGTCTCAGCAAATGTCTTTAAAATACATCATTCCATTAACCATATTAATTTTATTCTTTGGTTGGGAATACTTATTTATTTCATCTAATACAGAGCATTCCCTAAATCTGACCAGGAAAAGTCTGTGTGGTCAGAATGGTAGAAGAAGAAGGACATAAATCACTTATAATGTTCTCTACAGGTCATTATACCACAGCTTCTCAATTAACCTTCATTCCCCTCAGGCTGCCCAGGGCCTCAGGGAAGCCCCAGAAGCCTGGCTGCAGCACAGTTGCTCATTATCATCTGCTCTTCTGAGCATTTGAGTGTTACTGCAACAGCTCAGGTTTCCCCTAAGGGGAAGGTAGCCCAGATTCTTCTGCTCTTGACCTGCCTTATTTGCAATTATCCTTTTTTTCTTCTTTCACAGTTTTATTGTGGCATAATAGACATACAATAAACTGTACATATCTAAAGTGTACAATTGTATAACTTTGGACTATGTGTACACCCCTGAAACCATCACTATGGACATATCCACTGCTCCCATGGCCTTTTCTAATCATGCCTTCCTGCTCCTTCTCATCCCCTTTTGGATTGTTTCCAGTTTGGGGTTATTACAAATAAAGCTGCTGTGAACATTCATTTACAAGTCTTTGTGTGGATGTGTACTTTCATCTACCTTGGGTAAATACCTAGAAATAGAATGGGTCATATGATATGCGTATGTTTAGCTTTTTAAGACTGACAAGTGGTTTTGCAAAGTGGTCTCACCATTTTACATTCCCACAATTAGTGTATGAGAGTTGATCACACCCTTGCTGACACTTGTTATAGTCAGTCTTTTCAATTTTAGCCATTCTGTGGGTGTGCAGTGGTATCTAATTGTGATTTTAATTTGCATTTTTAAAGAAATAATGATATTGAACATTTCATATGCTTATTTGGCATCTATCTTCTTTGCTAAAATGTTAAAGACTTTTGCCTACTTTGTATTGAGTTGTTTCTTGTTATTGAGGTACCAAGTATTTAATTGTGACAAAATTAAAATTATTTTTTCTTCTATAAAAGTTGTATTCTTAGCCAGGTGTGGTAGCTCACACCTGTAATCCCAGAGCTTTAGGAGGCCAAGGCAGGCAGATTACTTGAGCCCAGGAGTTCAAGACCAGCCTGAGCAACTAGGCAAAACCCCATCTCTACAAAAAATGCAAGAATTAGCCAGGCATGGTGGCACACGCCTGTAGTCCCAGCTACTGGGAAAGCTGAGGTGGGAGAAGAGCTTTCAGCCCAGAAGGTTGAGGCTACGGTGAGCCATGACTGTGCCACTGTACTCCAGCCTGAATGATAGTGAGACACAGTCTCAAAAATAAATACATTTTTAAAAAAGAAAAGTTTGTACTTTTTACATCTTACTAAGTGATCTTTAGCAAACTCAAGATCACTAAGATTTTTTCCTATGTTTTCTCCTCAAGAGTTTTAGAATGTTACTCCTTACATTTATGTCTGTGATTCATTTCAGGTGAATTTTTGTAGATAGTGTAAGGTAAAGGTTGAAATGCTTTTTTTTCACACATGGTATCCATTGTTCTAACACAATTTGTTAGAGTATCCTTTCTCCATGGGATTGTTTGGGCACCTGTGTCAAAAATCAGTTGGCCATACAGAAGTAGGTTTATTTCTGGACTCTGTTCAGTTCCATTGATCTATTTGTCTATATGCTAATACCATAGTGTCTTGGTTATTATCATTCTATAATAAATTTTGAAATCAGATAGTATAAATCCTCTGGCCTGATTCTTCTTTTTCAAAGTTGAGTTTTCACTAACCTAGGTCCTTTGAATTTTCATATAAATTTTAGAAGCAGCTGGTCAGTTTCTATAAGAAAAACCTGCTAGAATTGTTATTGGTATTCCAATGAATTAATAGAAAAAATCCTGCAGAACTGATAATATTGAATCTTCTGACCTTTGAATACTTTATGTCTCTCTATTTATTTAGGCTTCTTTTATATTTCTCAGCATTGTTTTGTCATTTTCAATGTGCAGGCCCTATACAACTTCTGTCAGATTTATTCTAAGGTACTTCAAATATTTGAAGTATGTGAAGTACCTTAGAATAAATATGGATAAATATTCTTAATATTCATTTTTAATTTTTTCGTTGTTGAGACAGGGTCCTACTCTGTTGCCCAGGTTGGGGTGCAGTGATGTAATCATAGCTGACTGCAGCCTCAACCTTCCTGGCTTAAGCAATCCTCTCACCTCAGCCTCCTGAGTAGCTAGGTTTACAGGCATACACCACAACACCTGGCTAATTTTTGTATTTTTTGTAGAGACAGGATTTCGCCATGTTGCCCATATTGGTCTCAAACTCCTGAGCTCAAGCAACTCACCCGTCTTGGCCTCTCAAAGTGCTGGGATTATAGGCGTGAGCCACAATGCCTGGCTTATTCTTAGTAACTTCTAATTGTTCATTGCTCGTATGTATAATTATATATACACATTACCAGTATAGATAATTTATTTTTGTATTTTTAGTGGAGACGGGGTTTCACCGTGTTGATTTTGAGACCCTGTCAACACATGCTTCCCTGTCCAGGTGCAGTGGTTCACGCCTGTAATCCCAGCACTTTGGGAGGCCAAGGCAGGTGGATCACCTGAGGTCAGGAGTTTGAGACCAGCCTGACCAACATGGTGAAACCCCCCATCTCTACTAAAAATACAAAAATTACCCGGGCATGGTGGCAGGCACCTGTAATCCCAGCTACTCGGGAGGCTGAGGCAGAAGAATCGCTTGAACCTGGGAGGCAGAGATTGCAGTGAGCCGAGGTCATGCCATTGCACTTTAGCCTGGGCAACAAGAGTGAAACTCCATCTCAAAAAAAAAAAAAGACCAGATTGACTTGATGGCAAGTTGTTGTGTCTCAACTTGAGCTCTTTAGAATAAATATTAGGGGACGCTCATGATGTTTGGGAAGAGGCCTCCCGGCCAGGCACAGTGGCTCACGCCTGTAATCCCGAGCCAAGGGAGGCAGATCACGAGGTCAGGAGTTTAAGACAAGCCTGGTCAGCATGGTGAAACCCTATCTCTACTAAAACTACAAAAATTAGCTGGGAGTGGTGGTATATGCCTGTAGTCCCAGCTACTCAGGAGGCTGAGGCAGGAGAATTGCTTGAACCTGGGAGGCGGAGGTTGCAGTGGCCAAGATGATACCACTGCACTCCAGCCTGGGTGACAGAGCAAGATTCTATCTCGGGGGGGAAAAAAACAAAAAAGACCTCCCTAACAGCAACGCTCAAGACTTTCTCTTACTGTCAAGGCTGAAGAATGAGATAGGTGCTTAGATCATATATTGGTCTGACCCAGTATAACATTTCTGCTGCTGTCACACAACACTCACGTTCTTTTTTGCCTGTGTTCTAGGTTTTCTGTCTCAACTGGTCTCTGACAAGCCTCTGACTGAATGTATCCGTGCTGGCCACTATGCAGCAAGCGTCATAATTAGACGGACTGGCTGCACCTTTCCTGAGAAGCCAGATTTCCACTGATGGAAGAGCCAAAAGCACAAGCCCAGGAGTGCAGACACTGCCCTGATTGCTTCCTGAGAATTCCCATATTAATAAAGAAGAAAATTATCTGCCATTTTTTCCTACTATAATAATGCTGAATCTTAATTTAGAGGGTACAAGGGTACGGTAATGCTTGTAGAATCTTTATTATCTCAACAATCTAAAAAATGATGTTTATTTCCATAGTTTGATAGTGCCACTTAAATGCCAATTAAACAAAACTATAACATTTCAATATAAATTTTTATTTCATTTTCAATTACTTTGTAAATTCATGTGTATTTAGTACACTGATTCTTTTTTTACATTTCTGCTTTGAATGCAGATGCAATTTAATATAATAGATTTTTTAATGAATTAATCTTAACATAGTAATCTTTAGCTTTTTATACAAATATATTTAATTTAGGAGTATATGTGTGTCTCTACACACACATACATAAATATACCACATATATACCTGATAGTCAAATAAGGTACAGAAATTTTATCTTGTCAAATTATGCCAAATAATCTCTTTAATGTGCACTCAAACATGTAATAAACTTTGGATAATTAAATAATGTGCCAAATTTAAGTTGTATTACAATATTCAAGTCATAGTCTTTTGGAACTCTGTAATTTGATACAAACAAAAACTTGTCATATAGGAATTTTTTTCTGTCTTTTCCCTGTGTACAGCAAACTGAGGAAGAAAGATCATTATTTAATACTGGGCCCTGAAATGTTACCCAATTTGTTAATGGAATTATGAAGAACAGCAACATAATACACTGAAGAATAACTTAGTATCAGAGACCAATAAATCCTTTTTTTAAGGAAGACAAAATGGTATAATTGGACTTCTGGAGTCAGACTTAGTTACCTTTATATGTGACCTCAGTTTCCTTTTTGTAAAATGGGATAATAACCCTTACATAGCAGGTCATTGAGATGATTTGAGAGAGATTACCAAGTATAAGATTTTTGTTTTAATGCCTTGTAAATGCTTAATAAGTAGCTGCTTTTATTATCATTATGATTTTTTCTTTTTTAAGAAAAAAAGATAATGTTTGTAAAACTGAATTCAAATCATAGGAAAGGATTTGGCCAGGCGCTGTGGCTCACGCCTGTAATTCCAACACTTTGGGAGGCCAAGGTGGGAGGATCACTTGAGCCCAGGAGTTCAAGACCAGCCTGGGTAACAAAGTGAGGCCCCACCTCTACAAAAAGTTTTTAAATTATCCAACCACAGGCTGGGCACAGTGGCTTACACCTGTAATTCCACCACTTTGGGATGAGGCAGGTATCACTTGAGGTCAAGAGTTCAAGACCAACCCAGCCACCATGTTGGTAAAACTCCATCTCTATTAAAAACACAAAAATTAGCCAGGCATGGTGGTGGGTGCCTGTAATTCCAACTACTTGGGAGGCTGACACAGGAGAATTGCTTGAACCCAGGAGGCGGAGGTTGCAGTGAGCCAAGATCACACCACTGCACTCCAGCCTGGGCAACAGAGTGAGACTCCATCTCAAAAAAATATATATATATAGCTGTGGTGGTTTGCACCTGTAGGCTCAGCTACTCAGGAGGCTGAGTTGGGAGGATCGCTTGAGCCCAGGAGTCTGAGGCTATAGTGAGCCATGATCACACCACTGTACTACAGCCTGGGCAACAGTGCAAGACCTTGTCTCAAATAAATAAATATATAGAGTCAAAAACTTGTATGTTGAACTATAGAAAGTTGAGGACTATCTATAGTGCAATTAATTTAAATGTAAAGTAGTTTGATATTTTACAGTGGTGCCAAAGCGATCCAATGGGGAAAGGAAAATCTTTTCAATAGATGATGCTATAAAAACTTGATATGCATAAGGAAAAAAAATGAATCTTTGACCCTGACCTCATACCATACAAAAAATTAGAGATAAATCATGGTCACAACAGAAAAGCTAAAGCTATTAGACTTATAGAAGAAAACAGGAGAATATTTTCACAAGTTGGGGTAAGCAAAAGTTCTTGGAAGGAACCATGAGAGCATGAGAGCACTAACTATATAACAAAAATATTAATAAATTAGATTTCAAAAAATTAAAACTTTATGTTCATCAAAAGACACCCTTAAGATACCCCACAGGCCAGGATACAATAATCACAACACATATATCTGAATTTATATGCAGAATGTATCTTAATACTCTTAAAAATACAGATACTTTACAAAAGAAGATATATGAGTCACTAATAAGTACATGATAAAGTATTCAACACTGTTATCATGGGAGAAATGAATTTTAAGACCTCATTGAGAATACTACTGCACTAGAATGACTAAAATTAAAATGACACCACCAAATGTTGGAGAGGACATGCAGCAACATTGCTGACGGACTGAACAACCACTGAACATTGCCGAAGTAAACGTGAACCACCACTTTGGGAAAAGGCCCTTAAGTTTTTTATAAAAAAGTAAACATACACCTATTCTTTCATCCAGTTGTTTCACTTCCGGATATTTACCTACAGAAGTGAAAGTATATGTCCACCAAAGGAATTGTAGCAGTTTTATTCATCATTGCCAAAAACTGGAAAGGGATAGTTGTCCATCAGCAGGAGAGCAGATAAACTGATACATTCAAACAGTGGAATAATACTTAGCAAAAGAGGACTGAGTGTGGTGGCCCATGCCTATAATCCCAGCAATTTGGGAGGCTGATGTGGGAGGATCACCTGAACCCAGGAGTTAAGACCAGCCTGGACAATATAGTGAGGCCCCCATCTCTACAGAGAAAAGCAAAATTAGCTGGGTATGGTGGTGCACACCTGTATTTGCTACCCAGGAGGCTGAGGTAGGAGTTGCTTGAGCCCAGAAGGTCAAGACTGCAGTGAGCCATGATTGGGTCACTGCACTCTAACCTGGGTGACAGAGGGAGACCCTCTCTCAAAAAGAAAAAATAGCAAAAGGAAGAAATTAACTGCTGATAAAACAACATGAATCCGTTCAACAATTAAAAAAAAAAAAAAAAAACCTTACTGAGGAAACCAGATACAAAAGCATACAAACTGAGATTCCATGTATTTGAAAGTCTAGAACCAAAACCAACCTATAGTGAAAAAGAGCAGTGGTTGCTTTTGCTGGGGAGAAGGAAAGTGGAAACTGACTAGAAAGGGTCATGAGGGGACTTAGTGAACTGCTGATGATGTGCTGCATCATAATAGGATTACACAGGTATATACATTTGTCAATGCTCAGGAAATAGCCCACTTAAGTTGTGATTTCATTATATTTAGGTTTTACCTCACACACACAGAAAGAATTATAGGCTGGCCGTGGTGACTCACACCTGTTACCCCAGCACTTTGGGAGGCCAAGGTGGGTGGATCACTTCGGGCAACATGGTGGAACCCCATCTCTACAAAAAAAAAAAAAATACAAAAATTAACTGGGCATGGTTGTGCATGCCTATGATCCCAGCTACTCAGGAGGCTGAGATGGGAGGATCACTTGATCCCCGGAGGCTGAGGATGCCGTGAGCCTTGATTGCACAGCTGTATTCCAGCCTGAGGGAAAGTCTGCCTCAAAAAAAAAAAAAAAGAATTATACGCAAATAATGAATTCTAGTTAAATAAAATACATACTGATAGAGATAAAGTGTACTGAGGTTTTCAACCTATGGTAAAGTGCATCAAGAAATAAGAAACATAAAGAGGGAGATGAGTAGATGAAAGATAAGGTAAATATAACAAAAAAATTTTTGAGATGGGGTCTTACTCTGTTGCCCAGGCTGGAGTGCAATGGCACCATCTCAGCTCACTACACAACTTCCACCTCCTGGGCTCAAGCAATTCTCATGCCTCAGCCACCCTAGTAGCTGGAATTATAGGCATGTGTCACCACCCCTGGCTAATTTTTGTATTTTTAGTAGAGATGGGGTTTTGCCATGCTGGCCAGGCTGGTCTCACTCCTGGCCTCAAGCGATCCTCCTGCCTCAGCCTCCCAAAGTGCCGGGATTAAAGATAATTGCCAATTTCCTATTTTTTAAAGGGCTGAATAGTATTTGATTGTGTATATAGATCACATTCTAAAAATTCATTTATCCATTGATGGGCACTTTGGTTGTTTCCATATGTTGGCTATTGTGAATAATGCTGCTGGGAGCATGAGAGAACAGACATGTCTGTGACATACCAATTCCATTTCCTTTGGGTATATGCCCAAGAAGTGGGATTGTTGGATCATGTGGTAATTATATTTTTAGTTTTTTGAGGCACCTCCATGCTGTTTTCCAAAATGACTGTACTAATTTACAATATCACCAACAGTATGCAAGGGTTCCCTTTTCTCCACATCCTCACCAGCATTTCTTATCTTTCGTGTTTTTGATAATAGCCAATCCAACAGGTGAGAGGTGATACCTCATTGTGGTTTTAATTTGCACTTCTCTGATGACTAGAGATCTTGAGCATTTTTTCCCATATTTGTTGGCCATTCATATGTCTTCTTTTGTGAAATGTCTATTCATGTCTTTTTCACATTTTAAATAGGGTTATTTGTTTTCTTATTACCGAGTAGTTTGAGATCCTTATATATTTTGAATATTAGCCCCTTATGCAATGTATGATTTACAAATATTTTCTTCCAATCCGTGGGGTGTATTTTCATGTATTAATTCTTCACTATGCAGAAGCTTTTTAGTTCGATGTAATCCTATTTTTGTTTTCATTGCCTGTGGTTTTGGAGTCATATTCAGGAAACTGTTGTCCAGATCAATGTCATGAAGTTTTTCTCCTGTTTTCTTCTAGTAGTTTTATAGTTTCAGATGTTACATTTAACTCTTTACACTCTGTTGCCTAGGTTGAAGGGCAATAGTGCAATCACGGCTCACTGCAACCCCAACCTCCCAAGCTCAAACAATCCTCCCACCTTAGCCTCCCAAGTAGCTGAGACCGCAGGCATGCACTACCACATCCAGCTAATTTACTTTTTTTTTTTTTTTTGTATAGATGGGGTCGCCCTATGTTTCCCAGGCTGGTCTCAAACTCCTGGCTCAAGTGATCCTCCCACCTCAGCCCCCCAAAGTGCTGGCATTACACAGCACCTGGCAAAGTTGTTTATTGTATGAGGTGAGATAAGGAGCTATTTTCATTCTTCCATTTATGGATATCCACATGTGGAAGAATGGAATTTTTTTCAGCACCATTTATTGAAAAGACTGTCTTTTCCCCTTTGTGTGTTCTTGGCACCTTTGTCATACATCAATTGACCATAGATATATGGATTTATTTCTGGAATCTCTATCCTATTCCATTGGTCAATATGTCTGTTTTTAATGCCAGTACCATACAGTTTGGTTACTATAGCTTTCTAATAGATTTTGAAATCCAGTAGTGTGATGCCTCCTCCTTTGTTCTTGGTAGTCAAGATTGCTTTGGTTATTCAAGTCTTAAGTGCTTCTATATAAATTTTAGGACTTTTTTTTTCTCTTTCTGTGAAGAATGGTATTGGAGGCCAGGTGTAGTGATTCACACCTGTAATCTCAGCACTTTGGGAAGCTGAGGCAGGCAGATTACTTGAGCTCA